TGTTGACAGGTCGTCCGACATGTCAGGGAAGGCAGTCTCGAGGACCTGCAGGTACAGTTCATCGAGTAACTGATGAGGGCCAGCTTCTGCCGTGGCGGACATGAGTCTCTCGAGCCGTCCAACGGGATCACCATACACCGGGTCTCCAACATACTTGACTGCAGTCGCGGCGAAGATGAATAGGCCGTTAGACCTCAGACCCAGCTTCTCGACATGTAGCTTGTTGGGCCATGACTTTGGTACTCGTAAGGACTCGGCGATCTTCGAAAAGGAAACAGTAATGTAGTGGTTGATGTCGGGGGTGACGACCTCCAGTTCGACCTCATGTAGGGGTAGCTGGCCGAACGCATTGCGATAGCCAGGGAAGTTGAAGGTAGCGATGATGTGCCTCTCGGGACGGCTGGCGACAAAGAATCGAAGGGGGGAGAGTTTATCTGCGTGCTTGAGCAGACTGGACAGAATTGCAGACGTGGCCTTCGGGTCTCGACACTCGTCCAGTGCGTCGATCACCACAACGCATGGCGGAATGGGTGAGCCGTCGTTGTGTAGGTCACGGAGGTGTGCCAGCGGCTGGATTATCAGCTCCTCGAACTGACGGGTGACGGCAGAGTGCGCCAGAAGGGGATCTTTCTTCAGTATCTCCGAGACTCGGTCACCATAAGACGGAAAGAGCAGTCCGAGCTGGTAAGCGATGGTCGTGAAGATCAACGACGCGTTGTTGCATTCGGCATCCGACCGAGAACAGAAGAAGCTCGCGCCTAGGATGCCTTCTGCGTGACATCGCGAAGCGACAGTTCGTGCGATCGTCGTCTTGCCTGAGCCAGGTTGGCCGTTCAGCCAGAAGACGTTGGACTGATGACTGGCGGGTTGCGTCGCAGAGTTCGCGGTATCGTCAGGCACATGTTGATTAGTCGCCCAGGTGTAGATGTCTTCCAAAATGCCTGTACGTGTTCCTTCGAGGCAAGTCGTGCACTCTTCGCGGCTGGAGTCGAATCGCGCCAGGGCCGCAAAAGGCGGTAAAGATTTAACTAGGTGACAATGGTTGGAGCAATAGGATCGTTACGCTGGGCCTGGACGCACCTTCCAGACGGGACTCCAAGCGCTAGCAAGAATCGGGAGTCAGCTTATACTCTGCACGCCATGAGAGATGTGTACACACGTTCAGAGTAGATTCAACCGCAACCGTTCCCTCTAACTACAATTGGCGGCAGTATATCAGCGAGCAGAACAAATTATCAAGGACAAACGCCTCATACCATGAAACACTGGATTGACCACGACAGGTCTTTCACGATGCCAGCAATCTTGTCCGCTTCCCCACTGATGTCCAACTCTCTCTGTATTCTGCGCCGAGATTCGAGTATCTGAGCCTTGTCATCGATCGCTTTCCAGGAGCTGCACAATGTGAACAGGCTGAACCCATGTCATCGACAGCGGACTTACGTGAACAGTCGATCGAGTCTGGCCTGCATCGGCCCAGGTATATTCTGACCGTGGGGTTTCGTGCATTCGCCTATCACCGTTGTCAGATCTCCGACTTTCTCCGCTAGGTCGTTGATGCTTTCGGTGTTTGCATGGGATTTCTAGCATCACTGTGAGAGTTATCGCCGAGGGAGCAGTACATAGCACGTACCTGAACCAAATCCAACAACGTCGAGAGGACGCTGACACCTATCTGCACGCCCGGCACACCAAGATTGCTGGCAACACCGCTGAAAATTTCAAGGGCTTGCTTCAGGGCGCCAGCTGCGGTATTGGCAGCATCCTTTGTCTCGCTACTCTGTTGTGTCTTTTTCAGACGGCGCATAGTTGCTGGTGTGGTGGGTCGAGGAAAGAGTCGGGCTGTGATGGCAGAGGCACGGGGCTAATTTTATACTATTCTGCGCGGATAGACATTCAGTTTCACTACGGACATGAGCTGATTTCATATAACCTATGTCTCGGTCAAGCCATCAAAACTGTTTCATTTTCGAAGACTTAACCGGGCTTTCTGGCGTCCCAAAATGATAGATTTGCCACCACTTTCGTAGCCATTTGCGGTGCAGGAAAATGATAAATCTTGTGTAGCCTGAAATGAACCTGAAATGACTCAATATGGCTATATTTCAGTACGGCAAAGAGTTCATGTTTCAGGAGACTTTGTGGCGCATTTCAGGACATCTGAAAAGAACATATGTAGAAATCATTCCTGCCTCATGTTTGCAACGAGGAAAGGTCCGGGCAAGGAAAACTTTTGATGGTCCTGAAATTGCCATTTCTGATGGATTTTGAAGCTATTTTATGAGCCAGAAGATTTTTACTTGAGATAAGTCAGAAACATCCTAGAAATGGACTACAAATATGCCGTAAATGGTAATTTTAGGACCATCAAAAGTTTTCCTTGCCCGGACCTTTCCTCGTTGCAAACATGAGGCAGGAATGATTTCTACATATGTTCTTTCTGATGTCCTGAAATGCGCCACAAAGTCTCCTGAAACATGAACTCTTTGCCGTACTGAAATGTAGCCATATTGAGTCATTTCAGGTTCATTTCAGGCTACACAAAATTTATCATTTTCCTGCACCGCAAGTGGACGCCAGAAAGCCCCGGTTCTCTGTGACCAACCCCGGCCTAGAACTGCGTCTGGCCCATCGCTCGAATCTCGCCTTTGACACGCCTTCTTCCACGCTCCTTGCGCCTGGCCAGCCTAAGATCGCGGTTGACTCATTCCGGGGCTACCCAGTGCGACTTTCCACCTCCTCGGCGTCCTACTTCTTTCCTTACTCACCGTCGTCTGTCTACTAGGATGCTGCGGGGTGCGTTGCCTCTCCACGTAGCGAGGACTGTCTGCTGATCTCTCTCCATGTGAAGATTGAGTCCGGACATTGTCGCACGGAGCAAGTAAAGCCACACGACATCTTTGGAGCTTATCTATGCGGTGAGTACTGTCAATTGTCATGTTCGTAATGACGCTGCTCATCCCCCAATAGCATTTCCTGACCCCGCCATCGCCCCGCCAGATATTCCCCATCGGTCCATGCGCTCATGCATGTCGATTCTCGTGCTGGTTCTTGACAGCTCCAGAGTCCCTAGAGTACCTGCCCTTCGTTTTACTTGTCATAGTCATCTACTCCCAGCATATCAACCCCAATTCGTCCTCTGCAAGGATAGCCCTCGTCATCCCTTCCAACCGTGTTTTCCTGTCTGTCGCTGTGTAGCCCCATCGTCTCCTCCCTTTTCAACCTCCTTACATCCTGCAACGCATTGCTTTCGCAGCCCATCCGCTGTGCGTCGTTCATGATGGCTCATGAAGTCGGCTCTCGCTGTGGGAAGCTCAAGGACGGGCCTTCATCACCGCAGAGGTGCACCAGATACCTGCTGCCGCTCAAAGTTATCATCGGCCGCATTGCTCGGGGCAACTAAGTTCAACGGGGTACTGTACTTCCCGGATCATTTCTCCGGATTGCTCATTCCTCAAGTGCGGCCTTCTTCTCTAGGTGGGGATATATGCCGCAGGAACGCCGTTTCTCTTGTTCTCGGACCGTTTCAGCTGGCTGTCTGGCGTAGCTAAGACTGAAGACGCGGAACGAACAGCCGCATCGGGAGCAGCAGTGGTCCGCCCGTGACCCTGGCACCCAGACAGACGGCCGACGCTGCGGTGCCCGAGGAGCAAGAGTTGCGTAAATCTTCTGCGCAATTTTTCTTTCTTTCTTTCTCTTTCTCTTTGAGCGCAACACCTCTAGCAGCTCCAGACTCTCGCCCCCTTGATTTCGCAGCTGAGGAAGTGTTCGACCCGTCCGGCAAATGCTTGCTCAAGTCCTTTGCGCTGTACACTTGCAGTCAACCAGAGCACGAAGAGTAGGCGACCACAATCTGCTGCGCCAAGGCGTCGATGTCGATGTCATTCAGCGTCGTCAGTTCCGATTCGACATCACCCTTGTTTACTTCGACGAACTACCTATGGTGCGCCCTACAGCCTCTGTCGTGCTCTTTGGATAAGGAGTTCGAGAAGCCGGCCGAGGGGAAGGAGAATGCTGTCTTGGCCGTCTCGGTTGCGGGTAGCAAGACCAAGGGCTGCATACGATATGGACGGGCGGTTTGGCTGGTGGAGGAACCAGCGCCGTTGCGGGCTTCACGAGCGGAGCGTCAGTCATGGCTGCGCTACGAAGGTAAACCGCATATGCTCTGTCTAACTTATGTCATTAACGTCAGCCTTCCAGACCTTCTTCGTCGTGAACTCAGACAACATGGAGCTCAGGAAAGGCCGCAGTCCGCACGTGCCTGTGATGGATGCTGTTGTACCATCTTTCCTGTACAAATCTGCAGCTGCGATAACAACGATACTGTGGGCGACATATGTCGTCGGCGCTCGTGGGAACATGATCTCGAGTTTTTTGTGGCGGGTTCCCGGATGGCTTGTCTGTGTTCGCTGTTGTCGCCGAGTAAAGATTTCTCTTTCATCATAGATTTTTAGAATAATGAGCTTGGATGTAGCACTACGACTACGTATAACATTAGGACTTGGCGCGACATGAGTCGGGAAAATTGTAGAGCCCTGCACGGCGACATTTCCCCGTGGTACAGTTGTTCGCTAGCTAGCAGACACAGTTGCTCACGAGTCACGAGGCGTTGTCCGCGAGACTCGCCATCGGCGAAGTGCCTCGGTCAGGCTCCGGCGGTGTATTGCCAGTACCGGCCGCTTCTAGTGGTGCAGGATATTGCTCAGACACGTCCAGGCTGTATCTGCGTCGATAACGAAGGCATGCACTTGCGTGGCCATGATTTAATTCTAGTAATCGAACTGAGGTCTCATGAGAACAAAAAATTCTGGTCTCTTACTAGTTTGTGATCCCGTAAACGTCAGTCGAGTATAAAGCTTTGAACATTGGAGATGAAGCTTGAAAGCTTGAAGGTTGTAGCGGCGGGGGGTGTTTCCGAGCACAAGTCGGCGATTGTGGTTGTCGCAGTTTGGATCTGAGATCTGAGGGACGATGTTAACGTTATAGCGAGAACACTGCACGAGGCAGGCGATGCTTGCACTACGTTGAGTATGTGTATTCGGAAGACTCACGGGCCGAGTTGTCCTCTGCCTGTGCCACAAAGGGGGCTTGCTCTCCATGATGGCAGTAACGTTCAGCGTTCGACTGTTCAAATCAATTTCAAGCTCACGTCCGGCCTATTTGCCAGCTGAGAATAACGCTCCTGAAGCTACAAGCATCTCGTTCTCAATGTTGACATTTGGTTCGGAAAACCATGATAATTAATTGAACTTTTCCAGCGCACATGCTCCACGTTTCCTGCTTCTTCTAGTCAACCTGCCTCCCCCTGAACAGCACTCGTGCAGTGTTGTTCGGGTCATTATTTAGGCCCCTCTGCAAGCTTTCGGGGCGAATGCCCTCGTATTCAGGTTTGACGTCGTAGTTTACGACGATATACGCTAACATGGCTTTCAGCTCGTTGGAGGCAAAGAATCGACCAGGGCTGGTGCGTGAAGCAATCAACGTTATTACTTGAGAGTGCGACATGGTAGAGCAACATACCACGCATGCTTGCCATGCCCGAACGTTACGTAGTCCGCGGACGTGGTAATTAGCTGCGGCTGCACAGACTTTTCACTCTTATAAGACCGGAGCGGGTCAAACAGGGTCGCGTTTGTATAGTTCTCCTCGTCGAAGTGCGTCGCAAACGTCGGCGTGACGACCGTCGTACCCTTGGGAAGGAATGTTCCATCCGAGAGCGTCACCGGCTGCAGGATGTTGCGGAACATCGAAACTGCGAGCTGTCGGCCATGGAAGAAGCGAGTGGGAGAAGAACGCGCACCAACAGTCGGGCCATTGTGCCGCTCGCATTCGCGCAGGAAGCTGTCGAGCTTGCGCATCTTGTTTATGGCAGCTTTCGTCCAGCCTTCTTCGGCTACAACGGCCTCAACCTCTTCCCGGAGCATGTTGGCAAGCTCGGGGCGCATAGAGATGTCGTACAAGGCTTGGAGTATGGCCTGAAATACACCTGGTTACTACTTCTGGCCCTACGGTACTGAAGACTTACGGCCGAGGTCGTCCCAATAGCCCCGAAGTTAATGAACAGTACTATGCGCGCAACCTCTTCTGGCCCTTGATTGCGAGCTACGACTTCGTCGATAATCCACTGCAACAAATCATTCTGTGCTTGTGTCAGAAATACACTAGGACTGCGCGGCTAAAGTGACACACCGGCTTATCGGTCCAGTCCTTTCCAAACTCAGTCATCGTGGCCATCCGGTCGTCAATAACCGGCCGCAAGTAGTCGAGGCACTGTTGCACGCGTTTGTCGATGACTGTGAGCTTTCTGCCGGCGATGCGCTTCATAAAGCCGGGAAATGTTGCGAGGAGCCTCACAGCTTTGCTTACGTCCTCTTCGAAGTGTACCATCATGTGTACATAGCCACTGTCCCGACCTGAGTGCAATGCCTACCAGTGAGCCATCTCTCTGCAAAACACGCATCGGCACCTACAGACGGGCATGCCGACAAATACGCGGTTTGCAACGCGTGTAATGATTGTGCTCATTACAGGAGAAGCATGGACTGGAAGCCAACCTAGCAGAGCTGCCATTAGACCAGTACCTCCATATGTCAGGTTGTCCCACTCACGGTCGCTGTTTGCGGGAATGTGCTCTCGGAAGGCTATCCTGAGCTCGTCAAACATGTCTTCGAATACCAATGCGAGGTTACGCGTGAGACTCCGAAGAATCGGCATATGAACAGGGTCTCTGTGCCAATTAGAGGCGAATACATGATGTATCTCGAAAACCTAGCATTGAGCAAAGGAATGGGCGTCGATGAGTCCATGCCAATCTAGCCGAAGGAAAGCGCACCTCTGTCGTAGCGGCTGACACTGTGTCGTCCGGCATCTTTTGCAGCTCGTCGACCAACTTCTTACCAGAAAGCACAACAAGCCAACGATCCACCATAGCGACCTTGAAAGTCCTGCCCTTGTGCTGTAGTATTACACAGTGAGCATACACACTGTAGGAGGATTCACAAACACACTTGCTGATAACCCCGCTGTATAATCTCTCTTCCATGGGTGAGGAAGTTGTAAAGCCCGATGAAAGATAGGATTGGCAAAGAGGGTCCGCCTTCGGTCGGGATATGACGAAGCTGCAGTTGATGGTATTGTAGCTGGGCCGTGGAGTGGGAGTTAAGGACGTACATTCTTCGCGCTCAAGTGTCGGATGAGCAGCCATACAAGGACGACTCCGGCGACAGCTTGCGCTGTCGTCAGCTCGCCGACATATGATAACAGGCCGTTTACCATGGGGTTCACGCTGCAGCTGGCGACAACGGCAATTTAGGGAGAGGTTTGTTTGGTGTGCGAACGGCGACTTCCTAGGATACGCCTTTTGTACAACGAACTACACCCTGTGGTGGCTTAGATTGGAGACAGCCGGGAAGCCCGCGCGTAATATCCTGTGCTCGATATGTAACATATATCCAACTATGTTGGCGCATCGGTCAGGGTGCCTTGCCCGTTGCACCCTTCGCAAACCATTCTGGTGATTTGAAATAGTGTCTCCTCATTGGCGGTGACGCCGAGATTTTTTGCGAAAAAAGAAGCAACACTACGGCCGTCGTTTCTCCGCTGTCTATCAGCAGAATTTGGGAAGCGCATGCGCAGACCGCCCGACTACGGTGGCGTCCGTAGTGCGGAGACAATCCTTGAGATTCACTAGGAAACTATCAGCACCACGATGTATAGATCGGAGTTGAACATGCCGACAATTGACTTGAATTGCACATCATTAGAATTAAGTGGCGGCACATTAACAAGACCTGACGAGAACCTACCTCGCCCGTGGGGTTTCAGTCCAGCGCTGACTTGTCGCGATGCCGCGGCCGCGTCACCGTTTGGCAGCAGAGTATGTTCCTAGATCCGCGTCGTTAATCTCCCCTCCGAGCCCGAGCCCGAGGTGAAACCATTGTATTACGAAAATGAAGAAGTCAATGTTGTCAGCAGTAATGGGAAGGCGTGGCAATAACACGCCCCAGATGTATGAGATCTGCTGTCCCGGTGTCCGGTAGTCCGGAGAATCGGGAAATACACATAAATAAGAACCGGTTAAGTGTGCGCCTCTTATCGGCCCCGGCGAGCCTGGTTCGTCTAGTAGCAGTCTTCCGGAGCAATGTGAGCAAAAAATATTTAGCTGACCAGATCTCATTGAGCCGTACTTGCACAGGGTGCCTTCGACCGTAGAAACTGTCAGCGATTCAGCCTTGGTCAGCCCGGGAAATGCAAGCATTCTGCTAGGTAGTCTTGGTTAGATTCGCGAAACGTCCTACACTCGTAAAGCTAAGCCGTTGTCAGCGTGTGAGTTTGTTTATGCAGGAGCACTGACGTAAGGGCCGTGCCTCGTGCAGTAATGACTCTTAAGGCTACGGCGAGCGACGCCGCTTTGGCTGGGCTTGTCTCGTGCGTTGTGTCAGCAAATTTCTTTAAGAGCCTGCGAGGGATGGGTCTGTAGCCTAGTTTGGCGCACATGTATATGTAGAGGCCATGCAAGCACTGAACAGACGACGGTGCGGGCGTGACGACTCAAAGCGCAGTGACAAAGAGTGACAGACGCGACGCTGATAAGTGACGTCACGCGTATCTTTCGAATTGCTGTCACGGCGTTGTCACCCGTCTCTGGCTGTCTGGCCCATCACTCGAGCCCATGAACGTCCGGCTCTCAATAACTTCCTACCTGCCCGAAAACCGCCGACTGTCTACCAACCGGGGGAGCTAAAAGATACCCATGGAAGGCCGATGAAACCGGTACCAGTCAGTGGGGTCTAAGATTGCTAGTACGCGCGTGGAGTCAGTTTATCAGGTGCGCTGTCTTGAGGTCGACCGCTGATCCTCTCAAAGTGGTCGAAGCTGTGGTGATGAACGAACCGAGAGCGGCACAAAGTCGTCAATTTAAGAACTGCGAGCGACTTATGTCGATGATCTGGAACATATTGACCTAGCGAGTTTTGTCGTTGTGTTCGCCGTGAGGGCATCTGATGGATCCCCCTATAGTACTCCTCGACACTTTTTACTGCTTCGCTGGATGCCCCCTATAACCGACTCTTGGTCGCGCCAAACTCACGTCCGTCATTGACGGATGCGATCAGCATTTGAGACTCCCCCGGCCCTTCACTCCATTCGTCATAATTGTCTACCTTCAACGCCTCAACTGTGACGCTCCAAGATGCAGCCCGGCATCCATCTGTTCCCCGATTGACCTCGCCCTCTCATTTCCTGTGTTCTATCGCTGTGATCCTTTCATCTCGCCATTTCTGACATCATTACGTCGTACAACGCATTATCTTCGAGCATCTCTACCTTGCGTCGTCCTTGGCAAATTAGGCTACTGGCCCTCATTGCCAAGAGCTCAACTACCATGATTAGCCTCATCGTAGCGCAGGGAGCCGCAGATGCCTCCCATCATTCAAAAATATCGTCAAATACACAGGCCAGGATGATCCTTCATATGCTAGTCTGGCCGCCGCGCGTACTCCTCTATTGTAAAGTGAGTCTAGCCGTCGTCGTTTGATGTGATCTGCTACTCACAGCTTGTTGCAGTCACGGACTCCCTCGTGCACTCTCGGCCTCTCCCCCCTACTCATTGTCCTAGACCGCACATCTCTCATGCGCGACACTCCCCTCCTAGACCGGCGATATACGCCACCGAACGCGGAGCTCTATTTTTTTCGGGGTGCCTCGTCTGGCTATCCGGGGCAAGCAAGATCACTAGTCCGGTACGGTAGCGGCGCCAGAAGCGCATCGCCAGTGTGCTGTCCTGCGGCTCAGTATGGGTAGGCGGCCGACGCTGTGGCGCCCGCAGAGCAAGAGTGGCGCAGACCTGCTTACGCGTCCGGCACTGGGGGCGTAGCCGTTCCATGGCACTTCAGCGGGCTTCAGATTCAAGTCTTCCAGCCTCTCGCAGCCAAAGAAATGTATGTCGAGTGTCGGTGTTGCCGAGACGTTGCTAGCAAGGAGGAGTGGATGTGCAAGAGCCACATTGTCCTGTTCACCCAGGACATCGAGCGAGCCGAACGGATGCCTGTGCTTGAGGTCCCCGTCCTTCGCCAAATCTTCTACGCTGTGTACCTGCTTTCAGGAGGGGCGCGACGAGTGGGCGACTATAATCCGCGACGCCAAGGAGTTGCTGCTGCCGTCGCTTGACACCACACACCAGAGACCGACGCAGGCCTCGGCCACCTCGGTGAACCACTTTCGCTCCGGTCCACCTAGGTTCTGGATGCCAAAGCAAGAGTTGCGCGTAGTGCGGGTAGGCATTTGGCCAGCATGACGGGGTTGCGCGCGAATATGGGCCGCGCGCGCACTGTGCACAGGACGTACATGCACCGCGGCACGAAGATGTGGATGGAGGCAGAGAAGGTGGTGTGCCAACGTGGGCGGCCCAAGTTGCCGCGTGCTCAGCTGCAGAAGCATTGATTCGAGTATTTCTCGACGAATTTTTAGGCCATTGTACTTAATTTCGCTGTTGTCGTAGTTCAATAGTTTCTTTTTCACCACAAGCCTAGAACTAAATGAATCGTAGACGCGCCTGTAGCACCGCGACATTACACAGCCCAGCACCGGCCGCTTCTACAAACCGGTGGCACAGGACATCGCTCAGTAACATCTGTCTGGCGTCGTCGGAAGTACATTCGGTTGTAATCAAATCCAGGGCACGCAAGCGCAAGAAAGAAGGCAAGATAGTTTCTCGTAGATATGGTAAAGCGGGAGTGGACAAGCGTGTCGGGCATATGAGAAGGAAACACAGGTTAATTCGTTACACTCATGTCGGGATAGTATTCTGGGTTAAAGTTCCCCTCAACTCGACCTGCCACCTCTGCATTAGAGGACTGCTCAGCTAGGTGTTACGCAATTTCCGTTTCTAGCTCGTACCTTTTCTTCTCGTGCTACTGCCAGTTCTTTGTCGGTTAGATCGAACAGTGCTGGCTGCAAAAATCTCCCGTCTGGCATGTCAGGGCCATGTTGAAGCGTGACGGGCGGATGTGCACGGCCGTTTACAGCTCCTGCGATCATACCAGAGAGGGCGCAGAAATCGTCTTTCGAACGAGCCCCTCCGTAGAGAACCTGAAACCCTTGTAACAGTGGAAACACACGTAGAACGAAAACGATCGCGTGCCAGTCGCGGGAGTACAGATGCAGATGCAGTTCGTCATCAGGTTCTGCAGAGTCTGCGAGGACGATCCGGCGGACAGACCAAGCCTCATCCCCATTGGCAGAAGGAGGAGACATAGCAACTTGAACTGAAAGATGTGCGACGCCCAATGTCTGGAAACGCTTGGGTGATAGGGAACCAACAAATCTATAAGTGTCTTGGGTGTATCTGGTGAGTACGAAGGTCTGGCAGCGCGACGAGTCGAGCTCACCTAGAGTCGTTTCCCTGACATCGAAATATGCGTATTGAATTATACCATTGCCCGAGAACATCTGGATGAGCTCGATAATGGCCCATGTTTCTGCAGGGACCACCTGTCCCGCGGTCCGACGTCTGGTGAACGAGTGTCGTGTGCTCGCGGCGGCCAGGATTCATGCGGGCACTACTGTGTTGTTTGTGCAGAGTTGCATTTCGATCGAGCGGATACGGCTGAAGGAACCCGTGCCGACGTAATCCGCAGCGACAGGTGTTGCGAGTCGGCCATCTGGCGATTTTACGTTCCTGAAATCGACGGTTTTTAGACAAGTAGTGATGTGCGGGCCCGGCTTGGGCTCAAAGCCCGGGCTTGGGCTTGTGGCGACGTCGAGCCGAGCCCTGAGCCCGAGCCGAGCCCGAGCCCGGCCCAAGCCTTGGGCTTAAGCCCGGGCTTGCTCACAATACAACGAGTGTTCCGGTGCTATCAAAAGGCAATGTATTTGGGTGTAGTAGATTAATACTGCATGTACTCACTAAATTATAACCTCCAGAAGATCTACATCTGCGGAACAAGTCGAGTCGCAGCGAAGTCCACGAGCGTGCGCCTACGGCAGGCACCAGATGGTGACGCACAATCGTGCTCGGCGGGAGCTGTTACATCTAGAATATCTACATTTTGTCTTCTATGTGCATATTAGGTCGCTCTCTCCTCATTCTGAACTCAGGGAACGGTAACGGAGCCAGCACACCCAAGCCTGGGCTTCCGGGCCGGGCTTGGGCTTGACTACGCTCCGAGCCCGGCCTTGAGCCCGCTGCCAGGCTTGACTCGGGCCAGGCTTTTTGGGCCGGGCTTGGCGGGCTTGGAGGCTTTGAGGCCCGGCCCGCACATCACTATAGACAAGTGATATCTCCTAGTATGCGGAGCACGATTTGGAATGACGGGAAGCTGCAGAGGAAGAGCGTCAAAGAAGTGATATTTCGCAGCGAACTCTTTAGAGCTGCATCATGTGATATGCGTCCAGGGTCGT